TAAAAAGAAACAAAAAAACTTTAAAGTTAGGAAATATTAAACTAAAAATTTAAACTGAAGGTGATGAAAAAGCTTAGAGAATAAATTAAACTACTATTGCCTTCAAACAGTAGTCATTTCAACAGCTGGTAATTTAATTTGGTACTGATTCTGTAAAACATTTCTTATAATTCAAAGTAAAAATCTGGTCTTTTCTTTCTTTTTATGTGCCATCTTCCCAGACAAACATTTAAGACTTTATTTCATGGTTTTTGTTTGTTTGTTTTGATTTTTTAATCTAGGCCTCTTGTGTAAGGAGCTAAAGAGGAAATAAACCATACAGGATGAAAAGATGGCAATGCTACCTCCTCCGGGACCACAGAGCTTTGTCCATTTCACAAAACAGTCTCTCGCCCTTATTGAACAACGCATTGCTGAAGGGAAAGCAAAAGATCCCAAAGAAGAAAAGAAAGATGATGAAGAAGAAGGGCCAAAGCCAAGCAGTGATTTGGAAGCTGGTAAACCACTCCCCTTCATCTATGGAGATATTCCTCCAGGAATGGTGTCCAACCCTCTGGAGGACCTGGATCCCTACTACTCAGATAAAAAAGTGAGTCCAGGGTGGGATCTTTATTTTGTTTCTTTCTGTGTAGAGCACTACTTTAAATTGAGCTTAAGTGGAATGTAATTATTGATCTTTTCATTAATGTGTTAAATCCATCTATAGGAAATTCAGAATAAATACTTCAGATTTTCATCAAATAATCCTGATACCAGCATACTATTTTCTTTAATCTTTTTGCAGCATAAAATATAATATGCTCTGGGGTGGGTAGGAGGAAAATCATAGGATCGCACAATTTGGTGGGTGGACGGAGTGAGTGTGTTAAAGGAAATGGGAAAGATCAAGCGGGGATCTGGAAAGACAAGAGTAATGGTGGGCACGGTTCAATAACGATTATATTAATTTTATAAAACACAATAATTGGTAATGATTGTTTGAAACAATGTGAATGTGGTATAGTGTGAAATACAATGTATTTGAATTTTGTATGCAAACCAATATAAAATAAAAATTAAAAGAAAAGCTTCATTTTTAGGGTATGGCTTAAAATTGCATAGTGGTAGAAAGAAACAAGGTAATTGTCAGTTTGAAAGGTCAGAAACGTAGGCTGTTCAGAATTAATTTTTTTTGAGACAATGACACAATTCATTGAAATACTACTCTCCTCACAGAGTTTGGAGAGGTATTTTACTCAAGCTGTTAGAGAAAAAGAACAATTGGAGATGGTTAGAGAGAACAAATACAAAGCAAAAATAAATTCAATCTTCAAAAAAGGAAGGGAAGAGATTATATCATGAAATTTCCCAGAAAGTTGAGGGTAAAAGATAAGCTATTGGATTGAAAAGGGACCTCCCTAAAGAGTAGGGAATTGTGTCGCCAAACAGAAAGCATGTGATTTGAAAGATGGAGAATATGAATAATATCCTCTTCTGGAATTTACAGCCTCCAAAAAAACCACTGGAGGGCCAACTATGATTTAGCCAGTCTTATTCATTTGTATGTTTAAATTTGTGTGTCTCTTACAAATGTTATAGAGAGTGCATCTCATTAAGTGTACTTACCTCAGTAACATATCTAAGAATATTTGGTTCTATTGGAACGATATTAAATTACAAAATAAATTTTAAAACTAATATTTTTTAATAAAAACAGTGACCTAGTTTCTCAATTTCTATTCTTCTATTTTATCTATCATTAATATCACATCTAAGACAGGAAATTTGAACTGGATGATCGTATAAAGGGGTTTTTTTTTTAAAAAGTGTTTGGTATTTCCTAAATTTATCAAAGAATGTTTTGTAGAACTTATTCTTTTTTAATAGTTGCTTTTTACTATGACAAGAAGTCATAGTTTTCAACAAGTGTGAACGTGATCAAGAAGTATGATAAAAATCAGTGATAGCTGGTTTATGTTTGGCTCACTAAAAATGTAGTTAATGAAAGAGAAAGAAGTTGTATTTCCAGCTCTTTCCTGTGGCCACAAGTTATTGTTGTTAATATGAGATTTGAAGGATTAGAAAAAGAGAAAATACTATGATTTGGAAGTTTATTTTGAGTCATTACTAGTATAACACACAACAGCAACAAGAAGCAGTGCAAATTTACAAATAGTTCACATCTTAATTTACTAAAGAAAAAGAACACAGAGTTCTTTGACCAAGATCATATGCATAGCTGCCTCAGTGACATGAGAACAAGTTCTTTGAATCTTCTTTAAGTATTTATTTAGTACATCAATACCCTGGGGAGAGAGAAACTCTTGATACTGCTATTCTGGATTTCAATTTTTAATTTTGGCTGTTTTCTTTTTCTTCTTGCAGACATTCATAGTGTTGAACAAAGGAAAAGTAATATTCCGTTTCAATGCCACACCTGCTCTGTACATTTTATCTCCTTTTAATCTTCTGAGAAGACTATCTATTAAGATTTTAGTACACTCATATCCTTTCAACATGCTTACTGACAGTGCCATTTTAACATGCATTTTTCTTATGTTCTATTCAAATGTAGATTCTAATCCTTTTGTACCTGGAAAGATTCTGGGTTTGATTTATCAATTTCAATATGATTTGTTATCAGCTTCTGAGAAAATTGGAGAACTTGTACTGTTACAGTTTTAGTCAGCATGACTTATCTGTAAATAAAGTGTTGTCTATAAAAAAGTTCTTAGCTTTTATGCAATTGTGATTATCAAATATTCAAAGTTCCTACTGTGATCTCTTATTCCTTGATTCTAAGCTACCTTATTCAGCATGCTTATCATGTGCACTATTCTGACGAACTGCATATTCATGACCATGAGTAACCCTCCTGATTGGACCAAGAATGTAGAGTAAGTGGGTAAAACGGCATTGTTTTAGTTACTATTATTCCCATCTTCTCATTTCCTGCTAGGAAGTTACTGCCTCTACAAAAACTGTAGTTTCCCATATTTCATAGTTGTTTATCTTTGAGTTCTTCCTCAGTCCCCTATAATGTTAAAGGGAAAAGCAAAAGTTCACAGTTCTAATCCTGTGGCTGCTCTGTGGGAGAAGGGTGAGCTGTGTGCCCCTGTGTGATTTAGCAATGGGCCTGTTCAGACTCGAGGTACTCAACAACAACTACAACGTTAACTCTCTAGTGACAATCTTGAGTATTAGCAGCGGCAGTCTTTTCTCTTTTCTAGAGGAACTGATTTAACAGATGCCCTGGCTGTTCTTTGGTAGATCAAATCTTCACATTGTTGGGTTTAATTCTAATAGGAACAATGTTCTTTTTAATTATCTCAAACATATCTATTCACTGGGAGTTCTTGCTAGGTGAGTTTTAAGCATTTCTGAAGAGATCTTTCTGTATTATTCTCATAGTTCAAATGGTTTTATCTGCTAGCAGCCATTTTCCTACAGCTGAGATTAATTAACCTTAGATGACTGAGAAAAAAAAATCTTAAATTTCCAGTCACTCAGGGATATTTGTCTCTTCTCACATCTAATCTTGCAATGGATTCTTGTGTCTAGGTACACGTTCACTGGAATATATACTTTTGAATCACTTGTAAAAATCCTTGCAAGAGGTTTCTGTATAGGAGAATTCACCTTCCTTCGTGACCCTTGGAACTGGCTCGATTTTGTCGTCATTGTTTTTGCGTAAGTACTTTCAGTTGTGTTTTTATTTTTTTACATGCAATGAAAATCTCAGACAGTTCCACTAAGAACACGTCTTGGAGGTCTGACCTTTCCTGCATTTAATGGTTACCTTTAAAGGCTGCCTCATAAAAAGTTGCCATTGAAAGACAAATATCAGATTCATCAGACAAAATATTTCTCCTTCCACAATTTTTATGATTTAATTGATTATCCACTTTCAGAACCTGAATAGTCTTTAAGGTGTCAGTTAGGTTCACACCTTCTACAAGTTCTTATTTAAATAAATCCATAAACATCTTCAAGAAGCGGGGAGGGGGGATGTTAAGGTCGTTAATTTTAAATTTGTTGGTCTTTTTTTGTTGGCTCCAGTATATCTGAGATTGTGAGGATGGTACAGGATAGCGCAGGGTTCAGATTTGTGATTCATAAGGGTTACGAACAGTCGTGGTCGATTTGATGACATCCAACCACAATAACATGCGTTGCTTAGATCTGCTGTCCGACTGAGCCCAAACCCCAGTGACCCTTTAGTTTCACAGCTGTAGATCTTTACTGGGGAGAATTCCTCATCTTCCCACGGAACACTTGTGAATTCAATTCTCTTGCTTAGCAGCAAACACATTACACACATACTATACCACAAGTTTTTAAAGAATTAATACCTATAATCCACTCTGCAACCCTCATTGCATACTCCTACGATGAAGGGGGTAGGGGGTGGGGTTTGGGGAGGTGCGGGAGCTCTGGTGTTTCCTTTATAGGGAGCTGAG